GGCAAATTAATTGTTGGAAGTTTTAACTGGTCTTTTATGTTTTCTGAGTTTACTTGCGTAAGGGCACTATGATTTAACCCAGGTGAACTTGAATCATGATATTGTAATTTTAACAATTCGTTTGCACATGCAACAACTTTATATGTGTCTTCAAATTCAGTTATTTCATATTCAACGTTTGAAGCCTCCAAGGGATCAATTTCATTTACTGTATCAACAAAAACAATGTGTGCATTTTCAATGCTGCTTAACCGTGTATTTTATTATTCTAATGGTTTATTAAATTATTAATTTCAGCCTCTTCAATAGCCGCCAATCCATTTAAATTGATAAGCTCGTCCATTCTCTTGACTTTTTGTGTCACAAATTTGAGATTAAGGTATTTTAGCGAGTGCTGTTGACCACTCGTTGCATTGCGAATAAAAATGTACACTGAAAGAAATATATACTAAAGTTAAATAAAAAAATAATTAGGGCAAATATATTTTATGTTTCATATATAGACTACCACATACATTGCTAAAACAAATATATTCGTTTGGTTAGCAGCCTATTGCTGCCCTAGCAATATAAATGGTGTTTCTAGCAATATTTTTTTGCTGTAATTCACTTATAGTTTACATTTTATAGTAAGGGTAAGTTTATTTTTATTTAGATCTAACATATCTTCTTTACAATAAATGTATTACAAAATTTACCATACATTCATAATAAACAGTAGTATAAATGTGTAAAGCACTAGTATAAAATTTTTAGTATAAATTTGTATTTACTTTTAGCAACAAATTTCTTTCAGTGTACGAATGCGCATAAAAATGTACGAATGCGCATTTTTGCACAGATTCGAGAATCGCATTTCAACTTTATCGTTCGTAAGTTGGCACTTGCGTATACGCAAGTCATGCGAATGAACTCGGGAATCGCAAAAGAAAAATGCTTTTAAAAATGTTATTTCAACATGTTTTAAAGTACCTACCTACAATCCCGGTGTTTATCTTAATAAATATTTTAAAGAAGGCAAATTTAATATATTTTCATTTTCGTGTATTTTAAAATTATATCTGATACACAGTTTCGTCTATCCATGTTTATGTGTTCTTTTAGCTATAATGCTGTTATACTTTATAATAATGTAAATTTGGAATTAAAAAATCTTTCATTAAATACGTTTAAACGTAGGCTAAAACAAAAATTTTTGAGTTTGTATTAATAATCATACTAGTTTTTGTATTATTTATAAAGTATTTACTGAAGTGTTTATTTTAATAGTATATTATGTATCTAGTTTGCTAAACGCCATTTTATACACGAATTTAAGTTAATGAGTGTATAGAAAAGTTTATAAACGAGGTGCATACTATACTTTTTCTACGACAAATACTTATTATTATCTTAAAATGATTTAAATCAAAAATTTGTATAGAGCGCCATCTATGAAACAACAGGGGAAACTGTCAAATGTCACATTTTTACATTTTATAAACACAATTATAAAGGTTATAAATCGAAATGTATCTTGAAAATTGACAGTTTTTCACAGTGAAAGTAAAGGAAATGTTTTATGAGGACTTTACAGTAGAGTCCGTGCCCGAATTTAAGTTACATTTAGTAATATTTTACAAGAAAGGCACTTTATTTTAACGATTGTATGACATTTGACAACTGTCAACTAACTTAAAACTAACTTCAGCCCGTGACTAAAAACCTGTTGCTAACTTCAGCCCGTGACTAAAGCGCCATAAAGCCACAACTTGTCAATGTGTATTTAAAAGGTCACTTAGTGTCATGGAAACATGTACGATAAAGGGAGTAGAAAAAATTATTTATATTTAAGGTTTTTCTGAATTTTTCCCTTGTTTTTTCGGCGTGTTAATATTGCCATACTAGCTTGAGTGAAGTAGCCTGAGGCTAGACTTCGCCTAGTTAAGTATTGTAAAAACATATTTTGTACTTAAATAAAGACATTTTATTATTATTATTAAAATACATCTGGCAACCTTGCCGATATGAGCTTTCTTATTTAAATTGAGTAAATTTAAAATAGTCTTTTAAAATCATATAAAATTTAAAATGTTAATGCAATTTAATTACAATTAATTTATTCGTAGACACTTAATTTTCTATTATTAAAAACATGAATATAATATTAGCCTGTACAATTTGTGTTGTATATTTAGTTTCTTCAAAGTGGCACCAGTCACGCTATAAAATTGATAGGATTGCATTACTTTAATGTCAAATACAGAAAGTTTGGAAATGCATGAAATTGTTTTTGTTTAAAAGCAAGTATAGAAATTTTATTATGGATGCTTTTAGAACCTTGATTTTTTTAAGTGTAAAATCGGTAATATATATTTTTTTAAACGATTTACCTTAAAATCCTTATTTAAATATTTAGATAATCCACCTACCAAAATAGATTTCTGTAGGTTAAAGTATTCAGTTATCATTCATAGTAATTAGACAATTAACATTAATACTGTAAAAGCAAGACTTCTATAAATAGTTACCTTAAAGTCAAATATTTTTTTGTTAAATAGTTTTTGAGATATAGTCAATTCCATATTATATGTAAAATTTGATTATATTTCAAAAACTGTTCTACTTTTATAACTTTTGACGACATTTTCGGATTCAGCGAATAATATTTTATAGGAATTGACTGCTAAATATCCTGGATACAAATTGCTGTTATCGAGAATTATTAGTGGCTGCTTTATCGCTATGACATTTTTGACTAATTCATTTTTAGAGAGTAAGTGATATAGTGATTTATTCGTCACAGGACATCTTGCAGAATAATTTAAATACAGTGCATGATAGAGAACATAATAAACTAATGGCAACAAAATTAATTAATTCGGAAAATACTTTTAACATACCACGAAAAAATATTACATATATATATAAACATTATAAATGCTTCACAAACTAGAGATACCACACTTAATGATATTTGCAACAAACTATTTCAGAAGTCAGACCAAGGAATTAGTAGTTACCTTCAGAATCCAAAAAAGGTATGTATGTGAAATCCGAGAAAGAAATATATGAATTATATCATATTGATTTATACGAAACAGCAATTTATCTTTAAAATATGTTTAACAATTTATATTATTTGGTGTAAAGTTGTTATGTTTATATAAAAATTGCATGTCCAATAACTATTCCATGTGTCCAATTACTATATAATGTGTCCAATTACTATAAGTAAACGTAAGTTTAAACAAAGAAACTATCCTTTTTATATGTTCATAAGAAAAAAACTTAAATCTTTAAAACAACGGCATATATAAATTTTAAATAAATAATATTCCTTAAGTGTCCAATAACTATGTGGACTACCCTATATATAATATTTCTGAAAAGTTTTAAAACAAGTTTGACACAAAGTGTATTTATAAATTTTAATTAAAGGAATAAATATAATATACATTTAGTAGGGTTTTGTTAGCAAGCATAAGTTTTCCAATTACAATATTTGGAAAGTAACCAATTTAGATAATCTGTTTGCTGATCGATATTAGGGTTATGTGTTGCTGCCTTTTCAGAGTATTAAATTTTGTAATTATAAAGTTGGATTTTAAATCAAATCGACCGGATATTTGTTATATTCTTAGCCTTTAATCCATCCGTTCGTAATGCTCTCCAACGTTACGGCAAATATTTGATCTTTTTCCCTTTGCATACTTTTTAGGATTAATTTTGATCAAATCTTAGTATATTATCTTTTCTCTCGCTCTTTTTATACGAAATTGTTAATTTATCATCACACGGAGAGAAAAGTATAATGCTGATTACCATAATTATAATACCCTTTACTATAATATTGCCAGATACTATGCATATTTAGTAATTTTTAAATAACCATGTATGTTAAACCTTAAGGTAAAATATTATTATTCTTAACCAATTTTGTTTATAATTCTTATTATAATTAGATTGTTTTCATTACTAATAAGTATAGTAAATATTAAAATATTATGTTGCCATTTTAAATATAAAATATTTTAAAATAGAATATTTTTACATGTTAACAATTAAAAATTCCAATATATTTATTGTACTTTTTAATATACAAAAATGTTATGAGAAGAATTGAACCTACACCTCGCCTAAGTTTTTTGTTTTGAGTGCGTTCCATCAACTTCAAATACAGGTGTTTTGACCTATATTGGGTATCATCAGTGTCGACACGACACTGTCGAGCAACTTGTAGTAGTGGAACACATCCAAAACAAAGAAATACCTGAGCTTATATAACATGGTTGGTAAGCCAACAGAGGCGAGATGTAAGAACATCACGTGATCCACACCGTCTAACGACGCGTCGCGACGTGGCCTTTGCCGCAATCGGTACATACTATGCAACCAAGTAGGTTCAATTCTTCCTTATAAGTATTACCAGTAATGGGTCAAGAAAGTTTATTGAAGAAACTAAGAAAATTGAATGTTTAAAATGTCATGATTTACTATATTGTAAATTATATTTAAATATATTGTTTATTTACCTTAAACATAAAAGTATCTTTATTTTTACTATATTTTTTATTAATGTGTAATATATTATAATATTAGATGTACACCTTACATTTGATTAAATAATATACTATTTGTAGATAGTAAAATCAATTTACTATACGAACATATTAAAAATTAAAATATATATTATACATTTATGATTTAGTAATATTGGTGTTGTAATCTTTACTAAAATTGTATAATAAAAAATAGTATTTTGTATTACAATCTTAATATTGTATTGTTAACCTAAAAATTTGTTAAAGTAAATTTTACTATATTTTTTTACTATTTAAAATTTATTATACATTTCTCTCCGTGTAAGCAATTGGTTGACATAAAAATCCAAACTACCGACCAGAAAAACGAAAAGGTAGGATGTATCTGCAGCAAAACTATTTAAAAGCAATATCAATTATTTGTAGATCAGGCTAAATCCGGTAGGTTTTGCTGGGACAAATCGAAACGAAATTAAAATGGAAAGAAAAGCAGGGGCCGATTTGGAAGGATCAATGGGGATTTGTGTGGAATTATTAGCAAAACGTCGGTTGACCGTCGAAGGTACAAACGAAACGGGTTGCCTTTGAATTAAGGTTAACACGGTTTAAGATAATAAAGGGTCAAAATTATACATACAATCATTATGGTTGGTTAAGTACTTGTATGACTATTTACATCAAAATATGTAATTAAACAAAATACAAAAAAGTCACACAAATAAAATAGTGAAATATGTGAATATAAATAACCTTAAAAACTGCCATTAAGATCATAAATATTATCAAGTTTTTTGTAGAAGACCGAAGTTTGTAATTATTTTAACAAAGAAAAAAATGTTACCAAAAGTTTTGTAAAGGTTAATGTTAATTTTAAAGGTAACCGATTATTTTGTTAATGTTTGACAAATTATTGCGTTTAAAAAGTTTAGTTAAAGTTACGAAATACATCAGTAAGTGTTGTAGCAATACTAATAATTATTTTGTACCAAATTTCTTTATAATTTGATGATTTCAGAATGGTGTTTATTTAATCGTAAGTACGAGTATGTTATTTGTGTTCATTTATGTTGGTATGTGTTAATTTTTTTGTTTAGTAAATTAATAACTAAAGTAAAATTTCTTAAAAATAAGGTTTTTTGAAAATTACAATAATTATGGGTGAATTATTGATATATTAAAAAATGGTTAATACCTATTTGGTTAAAATTACCAAATATTTTTTAACTGTGAATTAAGATTTTTTTTCTTTTTTTAATGACCATATATAGTTTTACAACTCCAAAGTATTTAAATAATGTTTATTTAACGTAATTTTTAAAAAGAAAAATTGCCTAAGGATTTTTAACGACGAATTTAACCCAAATATTTTTACTCTAAATTAAATTTTACTCATAAGTCATGTGATAAGATGCGTTCAAGTTTTAATGCTAAATATAATTAGTTTTGTCAACATAAGTAATAGATATTTATTAATTTTACTATCCACTTAGGATTTTAAATATAAATTATAAATTAAAGAGACACAAGAAATATAAATGTTATAGGTGTTGAAAGAGAGAACGGACATTAAGTAATTTTAACGTTATTTTTACGTAAATATGTGGTGTTTAATTTATTTTTATTACGTTTTGTAGTCGTACCTACCGTTATAACTTAAAAATAACTTATAAGTATATAAAATTTAATTTAGAGTAAAAATATTTGGGTTAAATTCGTCCTTAAAAATCCTTAGGCAATTTTTCTTTTTAAAAATTACGTTAAATAAGTTGTCAAAAGATGTTTAAAAAAACATACGAAATCGTAACCTCCGTGATCCTCTAATATTCAAGATGTATGTCAATATTCTTCAATATTATTGTGATGTCCCCCAAGTGAAAATGATTATTTTTTATTTTTGGTTGTTTACCTGTAAGTCTAGAATGGGGTTTTTGGGAAGCCACCAGGTCTAGTAATAACGTAACATAAGTGGTTCTGCACTATTGCAAGAATTTTATGAAATCATACATCTTGAATATTAGAGCTTCACGGAGGTTAGGATTTCGTATGTTTTTTTTAAACATCTTTTGACAACTTAATATTTTTTTAAAATACAATTGTACATTTGTACCTACATAAAATATTTATAAAAAAAATCTACTTATCTCAGATATTACTTCACTGTGGATAGGTTTTTTAAATAGCAAATTATTGAACTATAAAACAGCAACACTCTCATCTGCATATAAATTCTAACTGACCTTCAGGAATCACATGCATCTATAATGTCGTAAACAGAGGTTTTTGCTTATTTAAAATGATTAAAGCGCCATCCGTTGCATAAAATTTAAAGCAAAAACAGATTCACGGAGGATAGAATCAATTTTTTTAACACTTACATAAATGGTTATAAAAATTATTTCTTTTAATTTTTAATAATATTTCATATTTGATTCGATTGCTTTGGATGTGTTTAATTTACTTAGTGAACTGATATTTATAGTATGCTTTTACTACCTCAGATATTTGAGAGTAACAGTCACGGAGGATAGGTTTTCGACTTTTAAAACATTGTAAAAAATAATTAATTGCGGTTAAAAATCTGTAACCTGAGCTGTAATATCTACTTAATTATGTTGTCAGGTCCAACATACCTTGTTATTATTCATAAGGTGTCGTGAAGTGGCGCGTACTGAGCAACAAAAAGCGCGTTTATTAAAAAATTCTAAGCTTCAAAAAAGTTTTAATAAAAGATGCTGATGCTATATTGCTTTCTCATCTGATAACGCTTTTTATTTTATTTCCATGCGCGAAAGTCCGTTTGTTTATCTGAAACATCAATCATCAGAGATGTCAGGGCGACTGGAAAATTTAATCAAGTTGACTTTAGCCGTTATTACAATTCTAACGTCAAATGCCTCCCATTCAAATACCGAGTTTATATAGGTGTATTTGGAAATTTAATCAAATTTACTTTATTGATTTTTTATGACATTAAATTTTGCAAAAAGCCGTTCGCACATTAATATTTAATATTTTTTGAATTTCGTCGAACAAGGGCATCTTTATTAAATCCGTTTTATCTGAATTTTTATTTAAAGCCTCAATTAACTCAACTTTGCATAATTAGTTCTATATTTTATTAAATTATATTTATAAAGGGTTATACAAAATTGTTGTACCATTTTTACCTTTTTGTTTTTCTTTTGTTAATACACAAATATATTTTCCAATAAACTCTGTTGTCAACATTACATTAAAATTCTCATTAATTGATTTTATTATATAAATTTTGTTAATTTATTTAATTGGCACGAATGTAATTGATATATTTAATTAAAGTTAAGTTACACAAATATTAGTTAGGAGGTTTTCAATTAATTTAATATTTGCAGGTTAAATTTATTTTGTGTTTATTTTGGCTAGTTATTTTATTGAAATAAAACAAATTTACCAAATTGAATAGTACGTCAATTAGGTACAAACACCTAAAAAATTTGAGGATTATTTAAATTTGTATTCTTGAATAACAAGATAATTTTTTTTGGGTGACCCTTTAATGACCATATCGATCATTTTTAAAAGATGCTGAATCATTTTCTAAATATTTTTATTTAATTATAGAAATGGGTACTAATCAAAACTTTAGCAATGGAATAAAATCTTTTTTGAAAAAAAAAGATTTCATTTGACCCTGATTTTATTTTGCCCAGTTTACCTAAAGTTAAATTTTTATGAAAAATGGAAATTTTAACACCTTAAATAATGAAATTTTACCTATTTCACCTAAATTCTTATTTTTAATAGAAATTAAATTTTCAAATTGTATCATCAAAAACATGCTTTTTTGTAAAATTGCTCTCTAAAAATGAATTAGTCAAAAATGACTAATTTAATATTTATTATTGGCTGCTTTTTCACTTGTACCATGGTTAACCATGGAATACCATGGTATCTCAAAATATAACAGCCAATTCTTATGTAAAATGGTCCCCTGAATTCTTATGTAAAATTGTCCCCTGAATCCGAAAATACCAAATACCAAAAATTATTATTGGTATACCAACCAATCCACATTACCAATATAGTGGTTGGTACTGTGCAATGTTGCATTTTTACAAATTCTGGAAAACTTTTGCTTTTTCATGAGAAAGTTTGTTTAAAACATTTCTATCATTATACATTTGAATTTTGAAAGTCTTTATTAGAAGAGATATCGAATCGAAAAAATTTAAAATGCAGCTAATGTCATAAGACGTCATTTTGTCGCACGCGGACAATTTATGGACGAGTGCGACAAAAGGTCTTGACATGAGTTCTTTATGATATTTTATCTATTTTGCAAAAACTCTATAATTTTTTTTTTATTTTATACCTTAAATTTAATTTGATCGAATTTTAATTTAGATAGTTGGTATCACAGTCATTGGTTTGACAGAATGTCAAAATCGATTCGCCATGCCGTCCTTAATTTAATTATTTACAATATGCGGCTGTTAATATTAAAGAAGAGAAAAAGGATTTTTTGGTGTTAAACAAAATTTATTGACAGAAAAGTCTCGTAATATATTATAATCAATATGAAAAATATGCTGTTTAAAGTATAGCCAACCAATAAAATCAAAATTTTGGGTGGGATACCGAAAGCGGTGTTATAATGAAGTCATTATGAACGCAAAATAGATAAAAGTAATTTTTTAACAAAAATTTAAAAGCAAAAAAGCATTGGTAAATTTAATAAAATAGCATTGACATTATTGTTTTCAATTTTAAATAGAGTTTTTTCTTCTGGTTTTAAAAATATATAGTCTGTATATATTTGTGAAACAATTTTTCTTAAAAATTAATAAAAAACCTTGGTTATTTTACTAAGTGAGTTCAATATTCATGGCAACTATTATTTTTACGTTAAAATAAGCCAGATTTTCGGTTTAATTGTAATAATTATTATTAATGTTTATTACAAATATACAGAGTGTTTTATTAAAAAAAAAACAATTTTATATCTATTTTATCAATTTTATTAAAAAAATTACCAGGCAAGCTGTATTTTTTATATTTTTAATATTTCTTGAAATAAAGATTTTAGAGGGGTGTCCCATTCATTCGAAAACACCCTCTACCTAATTTAAGAATTTTCTTACCTAAAACAGACTCTATTTTTATAAATTTTGCAACCCAAAATCCCATCTCTAGTTATGAGCTAAATTTTATTTAATGAACTATTGGATCCGAATGAATCTTTTATAATGAAATTTATAGGATAAATATAATAAATCATTGCGTTAAATTACCTTTAAATTGGCCAAATTGAAATTTATACAAAGTTAACCAATTTAACCCTATTAATGCCGGAAAAACTCAACTTTTCAATGAGATCCTTTGTTACTGAATTTAAGCGCTTACCTTTTCCTTGTAGAATATAAACGATCTGCATTATTAAGGCCTCCTTTTTTCCAGGGAACGTTTAAAAAGTGTATCGTTCCATTGTGATCTTGTTTCGATTTATGCGAGCGAATCTAATTTCAACTGAAATTTAACAATTTAGTTTAAAATACGGACAATATATCGAAGATCCTTTATCAAAACGAATCCCCATTTTATTTCTTTCAATCAGTTTTAATTACACCGAATACCATCGATCGCATTTTCACGCTCTTTTATAAAAGAATGTTATTACCGAATTCTATCTTTTATAAGCATGTAAAGGCGGCTTTTTATGTATCACTGTGTCGTTTATACTAATGCACATCATCAGGACTATACGACTATAAAACATCGTTATACCCTACATGCTGACTATCCTTTATATTTCCTAAAGAGTATACATAAAGTTGACGTAATGAAATAAAAAAGAATGACATTAAAAATCAATAAATTTTGTAGTTAATACACAATGTATTGTATACCGTATGCATTCTTGTCCTAATTCGCCCAAATTATTCATTTTTTCATGACGGTACAAGATAGATTTTACATATCCCCATATGAAAAAATTGTTAGGAGCCAAATCTGGCCAGCGAATAGCGCCTCTGGTAGAAATTATCCTTTGGGAAAAGATCTCTTGTAAATAATCCATCACTATTCTTGTGTTGTGGGCAACCGTCCTGTTGATACCAAACGTTATCCAAATTTGGGGTTATGTTTTGGATTGCAGGAATAATTATATTTTGAAGAAGATCCAAATATATCGCTTCATTTAAATTGCCACCAATTAGGTACAAAGGGACCAATAATATTATTCCCATAAATACCAGACCACACGTTCAACTTTTCAGGATACTAAGTCTTTAAGTTTAGTTGCCTGTACTCATTTTCAATAGACCAGTACCGGAATAGCAGGATTGTGCTTTCCATATAATGGAAATGTGGATTCGTCGGTAAATACTATGTTTTCAATGAAATCTTAATCTTAATTTGCGGGTTTCATCATATTTTCACAAAATTCCATTCTCCGGTACTCGTCCTTAAAAAATTTCCGGCCTCTTCGGCTATTTTAGGAATTGAATTATTTGAATCTTCTTTTACCATTGCACAAACCATTATTTCATCTCCGCATCTACATCTACAATTCTACAATTCTTGATCTTGAAATTCCGTTTTCGAGAAAAAGGCTATTAAAAATGCCTGTTACGTAATGTACTATTTTGATCTTTAGACTATTATAATATAATATTATCAAGTGATGAAGCATCATGTGGAACTTCTTTTTAATTTATTATCTTATATTTTTCAAGAAAAAAGATGGACAATTTTCTATAAGAAAATTAATTATAAAAAAAAGCGAAAACCCATAAATTAACTGTTGTTAAACATTAAACGATGGAAAAATTTAATAAACAGCCTTAACTAAACCATGAAAACGTTTTGCCTTGGTACAAAGGGAGACATAAAGAAGCCATCTGCCGGCAAGAAATTTGTTGACAAAGAAAATTAATTTTGTAATACAAAGTATACAAGTACGTGTATAGAATTCATAAAGCGTATTGCCCAGAAAAAGCTCGTTAATTTCACCACAATAATGGAAAATTGGAACTTGCCTCGTGCACCGTTGTATCCCTGTACAGTGTACACTAAGGTTTTAAAAAATATATATTTTTGATAATTGTAGGGTAAACCACATAGTTATTGGACACTTAAGGAATATTATTTATTTAAAATTTTTATATGCCATTGTTTTAAAGATTTTAGTTTTTTTCTTGTAAATATATAAAAATGATTGTTTGTTTGTTTGTTTATACTTTATTTACGTTTACTTAAAAATAAGAATATTTGAATTTTTAATAATAGTTTTATAAAAGCAAGCAAAAAAGTATAGTAACTGGACCATACATGGACCATAGTTATTGGACATACAATTTTTATATATACATAACAACTTTACATCAAAAAACATAAATTGTTAAATATTTTTTAAAGATAAATTGCTGTTTTAGGTAATTTTTTCGTTTTTGTAAATATCATATAATTCATATATTTCTTTCTCAGTTTCCTTATCCCTCTTCTGGATTCTGAAGAAAACTACTAATTCCTTGGTCTGACTTCTGAAATAGTTTGTTGCAAATATCATTAAGTGTGGTATCTCTAGTTTGTGAAGCATTTATAATGTTTAGGCCGGAACAGGTTGATATTTTTTCGGGTTGTATGTTAAAAGTATTTTCCAAATTTATTAATTTTGTTGCCATTAGTTTTTTATGTTCTCTATCATGCACTGTATTTAATTCACTGTTATTCTGAAAGATGTCCTGTGACGAAGAAATCACTATATTAATTACTCTCTAAAAATTAATTAAACAAAAATGTCATAGCGAAAAAGCAGTCACTAATAATTCTCGTCAACAGCAATTTGTAGCCAGGACATTTAGCAGTCAATTCCGATAAAATATTATTCGCTGAATCCGAAAATGTCGTCAAAAGTTATAAAAGTAGAACAGTTTTTGAAATATAATCAACTTTTATAGTTTTTGACGGTCTTTTCGGATTCAGGGGACAATTTTACATAAGAATTGGCTGGTAAATGTCCGGGATACAAATAGAGTATGATATTGGACAAATGTCCAATAATGGAAATTTACATTTTTTACCAACCAGTAATTGGACACTGGCCAGTTTACTGTTTGTTTTCAGAATTAAAATTAAAACGCATTAAAGTGACAATATTTAAACCATGAGGAACACATTTATACCATACACTGATCTGTACACTTTTTAGAAATATTTTTTATTGTAATTTAAACACAGCCCTGCTCTTAACAAAAAAAACAAAAATCTTACCACCAAAGTAACGTGCGAACTTTTTTGTCCTATATTGGACCCAAAATAAAGTAGTTCTATATTATTATTAATTATTGTATACAGCATCATCTAATGGAGTTTAAGGTAACTATTTATAGAACTCTTGTTTTTACAGTATTAATGTTAATTGTCCAATAACTATAAATTGTCCGATAAATAGATTTTAGAAAAAAATGGATAACTTCTGTTTTAATTTTACAAAAAAAGTAAACAAAAGGCAAGAAAAGAAAAAAACATTTGAATGCAAAATTTATATAAAAGAAGTAGTTTTATTTATTGAAATTTTAGACGAAACTTATTTAACCAGATAACTTTGAAAACTTGGTGTGTACCTTGAAACGCTATTTCAGTTATAATTTCCAAAAATTTAAACTCAAATACAGTGGTAAATATTAATATGAAACTTTGTTTTACGCCAAGTCTTTGTGTTAACTTGGCTCTCTTAATATTGACTTAATTTTTAGTTTTAGCTAACTAAATTTGAGATAATTCCTATAACAAAAAATCCTATAATAAGTTATAACTTTTTTATAAACAATAATTAAACAAACTAGTAACATAGCACGGTGCTGTTCTGAGAGGTGATTTTTGGACTTTCTGTGAAACCTAATTTTTTTTATATTCTTGTTAATTAAGTCATAACTAAAATTTTAAGAGCAAAATAAAAAAATTTGACGGTTTGAATTGTTTTAATTGGCTGTTTATTAAAAAATTATGCACTCTTTCAATTATCCAATTAAAACTAGCGATTTAATTTAAATATTTAATATTTGCATAACTAAAAAAAAGGTTTTTACAATTTTTTTTATATATTTTACTGTTTTGTTGCAATAAACGTTCAAACTTTTAATCTAACCTTTGACGTATACATTTATGTTCCCTTAATTAATATATCCTTAAAGGTTGCTATGAAACTTAGATCTATTAAAAATTTATTTGACGTTTGAATTGTCATTTTCAGTATACGTATTCTATAATTTTTGTTTAGTGTTTTTTATAAACAAAAATGAAAAATTGTAGTAAAAGTTACGAAGAAATTCATGAAATTTAACTAAGGACCGGTTTATTAATCTTTAGTAAAGTTTATCGGGCCGATATCTTTCATGTCTTGGCAATATCTAGTATCCAAAGAAATTATTCGTCAAATAAATCAAAAATGAATAAATCGGCCCTAATTAAAATGTGGCACCCTTAGAATTATTGTTTAATAAATGTATACTATACATTTAACGTTAAATTAAAACTTTAAACGTGTATTACAACAAAACTGTAAAAGATATAAAAAATGTACAGACCTTTTTTTAGGAAATTAACTAATCATTAATCTGATTTAAAAAGTTATGATAATATTTAAATATAATCGCAAGTTTTAATTGGAGAATTGAAAGTGTGCATACATATTTTTAATAAACATCCAATTAAAACAAAATTAACCGTCAAATTCTTTTTATTTTGCTCTTAAAATTTTAGTTATGACCTAATTAACAAGAATATAAAAAAAATTAGGTTTCACAGAAAGTCCAAAAATCACCCCTCAGAACAGCACCGTGATAGTATTAAAATTACAAAAATTTCAAATGTTATCGAACAAACATCTTTTGAATGCAAACACACAAAGAATGCCCCTACGTTCTCACAAACTAACGTGCCTGAAGAACATTCAACGGTTGTAGAGAAAGTCAGCTATTTTCCCTTTGTAACCTTCTCATTTGGTAACTATTGTAATTGAGAAACTTTGTCATTTACACTTGTCTTGTAAATGAAAGTTAGTTAACAAGAGGCATTTAAACAATGGTTATACGTATTATTGTAATAGTGCCTATAGAACTTTACTCATTTATTTTGTAAAGAACGTAGGTAGAAGTTTTCATAATAAACTAACTTTTTTATGCTTGTTTCAGTACCTATGGAAGCGGTGCATGGAGTCTTAGGAAAAAAGAAAGGTCTTCCCTGTGATATTTCGCCCCGTGAAAGAGATGATGCGGTTGCCATGGTCCTTTGGTTCAAGGAAACCATTGGGGAACCTTTATACAGGTAATTTTTCTACCTCTTTATTATCCAATTTAAAAATCAGGTGTGTTGGTAAGTGGACGCACGTCACATGCTAGGCTTTTAAAATTTTTGTCAATTTTAAAAATTTTGGAAATTTTTCCAAACTACAATAAGTACTGTGCAAAATTGTCCTTTTATTTTTAAATTTGTCCCACTGTGCGTATTTGTACTACCATTTTTAAATTTTATAAATTAAAAAAATGGATTTGCAAATTGTGAATTTTTTTAAAATTTTGTCATGGACATTTTTCCTAATTACAAATTAGTAAACATTTGTTTGTACATAACAGGGTGTCACCTAATAAATAATATGATAGTATACGCCAAAAATGTTTAAAAAATTTAAAAATTATGAATTTTTTTTGAAAAAACCAATAGGTACAAATATTGTTTGTTTTATTTCATATTAATTATTATTAATTAGTATGCGTTTTTTGTTAATTATAATTCTGCCGTGCTTAATGAAAACGCCGTAACCAACAATTTTGAGATTTTTGGTTTACGGCATTTTCTACCAGAAAAATTCATCCTGCGTCTATCCCCGGTACTCAAAAAACCGTATCTATATATATATACAGTGTTTTGAGTACCGGGGATAGACGCAGGATGAATTGTTCTAGTAGAAAATGCCGTAAACAAAAAATCGCAAAATTGTTGGTTACGGCGTTTTCATTAAGCACGGCAGAATTATAATATAAATATTTATGTTTATGTAGCTTAATTTTTACTATTTTATATTACTTTTTCAAACACCTTTAAATAGCATTTTTTTATTAAAGCCATCTAGTAATTCCATATTCTATACAATTTGTGGTATTTTAAACCGTTTCCTAGCAAGGCAAATACACAAAAAGAAATTACAGTTTTTTGTTTATATTAAAGAGTACATTCTGTTAAATTTTAAAGAATTTTCGTCCAGTCCCTCAGGACGAAAAAATGCATTTTTTTTCGCCAAAAATGGGAAATTTTCATAATTAAGATGGTATAATAAAAATATACAAAAAATCAAATTTTCATAGCCTACTACATAATATCAATGGTATACCATATATATATATAGAAAATTGAAATTTTCAGTTAAAAAAAGCGTAAATTTAGCACTAAAAAACTGCATTTGTAAAAGCATTTGTATAATTTTAGACATATATTTAAAAAGTACATTGTTTTATGGTTAAAACATAATATTACGCGATAAAAAATATTAATAAACAAAAAAGTTATAAAAGGATTTCTTAGAAATCGATTTCCTAATATTTTATGCAAACCGGTCAACATGGCATTGCTTAATTTCTTAGGGTATTTAAATAAAAAAATATTATTGTGATTTTAGTTCATCACAAGCATTGAAATTCAACCCTAAAACTTTTATTAAAATCTGAGATGTCCAGCTTTTGTCATTAGGTGAAATTTCATGGAATGACTCCTATCCTATATATCATCATTGTTTTTACCTTTAAAAATAAAATATTATTCAAATAAAATTTAACCTAAAAATAGCTGAGTGTGCAAAACAAAAAACAATTATTAATAAAGTAATCAATGATAACACAAATTTAAATTTTTAATGAATGTATATTCACTGTGCAAGCATATTTTGCGTCAGTTGTCATAGGTCAAAAACAACCAGTGGCTGCCCAAAATTTCTACTTTACTTATACAATTTTTATTGAATAATTAATTTTTCGTGTATAATTATAAACATTATAAATTCTCTGCCTAACAACGGGAATAATGAACTTATTATTCACGTTGTTAAGGGTTTTAAATAATATTTAAAATTGGTTAACAGATTTTAATTATTTATTTTATTTTATTATAATATTTTATTTATTTATATATTATGACAATGACATATAACTTCTGCTAAAATAAAAACACTAACCTAAAATTAAAATAACATTATTTAATTTTTTTGTTTCTCAAGCATATAAATAAAAGACTACTTTAAAACTAGGTTCGATAAATATTTGATGGATGTGTTTGATGACGCTACTTTATTTTAAGGTTTTTTTCTGATACATTGCACCCCAGAATATATCGGTTCGAAAAAGTCATAAACGTGAGGTATGACTGATACGTTTTATGCACAGTATCTTACGAAACGACCTCAATATCCTTGAAGTTCTCCTTAAACATCAGACACTCGGGGGCTAAATACATTTTTATTCCATTTCACTTGTTACGATTCCGCATACGAATGTTCGAATATTTTTCAATGTCTTCAGCAACTTCGCCACAAAATCTCCTAATTATTCATTGAGCTCACTCCGATTTTCAAGCAAAAGCTTCAAACTACTCCAGATTTATCTCAAATGTTCTTTGGGGGAGTTTAAACGCAAGCATATGATTTGTAATGTAATTCATAATTGACCGGATTTTAAATGGTTATGAGTAGAAATTTAGTAAATAACACTACACTGAAAAAAATAAGCTGTTGAAACAACAAAAAAAATAATAATTCAACTTTTTATGCACTTTAAATACACGTTTACTTAACCATCTTAAAATGTCAAATTATATTGTTTAATTGAACAACAAATATTAGTCAAATGAACAAAATGAGAATATTTGTTCTAATCTGCTAATCTGGTTAATTAAACATTCTTGAAATGTCCATGTAACCTTTTTAGCATATTCACTTAACACCAATAAAATGTTAAATTAAAATAATTTGCGCTAATGTTGAGTTAATTGGGTTGGGTTAACATTCTGAAAATATAAAAGTAACATTCTTTAAAGGTTCTTTTGTTTCTCGTGTGGGCATAGTGACATTTTACTGATATTTTTTGGTATTTCAACAAGGTATTTTTATCATGGTTTTATTTAGTTAATAAAAAGTATAAAATAAGTAAAAGAAGTAAAGAGTTCGAGTGATAAATAACCCGCACAATCTGGGCGACGTAAGTTATGAGCACGGAGAAAGTTTTCACCAGCAAATGAAGGCTATGGAGCGGCGGTATCACGGCTTCTGGGTGATTACATTTGGTCCCTCATACGAGAAACGGAATACGAAAGCAACAAAAAACAAAGAAGGAGCCAGAATTTTTTTAAACCCATGCTTATTACAACAAAATAAAACTTTCAATTTCATCAATGTTCAATATTTCTTGTTTAATATTCAATATATAATTTAATTTCAATATTTAATGTTTAAAATAAAAATCAATATTAAATTTTATATAATTCAATAAAATAAAGAAAAAACGTAAAAATTCTCGAAAAACTTAATTTTGGTCTTCCACTGAAAAATTCATAACTTCGCCATTTATCCATGGATTTTTATAAACACCAGCTTATTTTTTTCCTTTAAGTATAATCCATAAGTAAAATAAATCAAACTGGAATTATCTTTTCGATTTATATCTTTTCCAGAATGATATGTAAATTTTCGACCTCGATTTTTGTAAAAAAAGGACTTTTTCAACTTCATTAAATCGCCAGTATCGAACTACTGAGCCGATACCAAAACTATACAAGAGAAAGTTGTAGAGGGCTAATTACCTTAAGGAGATTTAGGCAGCATTTTTTCTGATAAAGCTAGATGCTGGCCAATTCAAAATGTAAAGAAACTAGATCTGTTTTTATGAATGATTATTCCCAAATATACCCTAGGTATATTTAATATAATAAGCTGTTTTAAAATAAAGAAAAATCATCTTAAAGGCAATAAAAACATAGAACGTGGAGTGGGTTCCCGTCCAAACATATCAACGAAATTAATTTAAACAGGACGTGCTTCAAAACTTTATTTGAAGTCCATTGAAGTGCGTTTTAGTATTCGACCATATCATCGCTTTACTGCTGGCCGTTAAGGAACATTTATGATCCATTACCAGTTTGACTGGATGATGCATGGCTCCCAGTCTGCATACTGATCAAGTCCGAAGAAACCTTAAGTTTAGATGCCAATTCTAAAGTTGCTTCGTTTATTTTTATGTTACAGTTTCACTATAAAGAAATTTAATCTTATTAACCTGTTAGAAATTATTTGCTTGGAACTCTATTGTTCAAAGAACAGTAACTTACAAATTACAACGCCACTGGATATATCATCATGGTTTTATTCATATTCACGCAATTCATTCAAGATACAGTTGTATTCATTAAAAAAGCGTACAAGAATTAGAATGAGAAAAAACTGTCAACATTATTGCGTAAAACCGGCTTTCCACTGACTTAAGTCACTATAACTGACAGTAGAAAATAAAAATGCCTCGTCAGTTAAAAAGGCTCAAATAGTATCAAGAATCGAAGAAGAATGGTCAATTCGTACTGTGGTATAATAGAAATAAAAATCTATATTAAAAATTAAGCAACGCTGGGAACAGGAAGATTTACTAAACCAAAAAGTTGGTTCAGGTCGTCCCAAAATGTCCACCCCTGAATGCTGCTTTTTTGAGATATCTGAGGATTTATGGGAAACTATACAACTATACTATACCTACTATACTGCTGGGAAGATATTAATCCAAATATTGTATTAAATTTAATTCAGTTCATCCCAAATAGATTGGCTCAAGTAATAGAAAAACAGGGATGCATGACTAAATATTAAATTTTTTTAATGTTTGTTTTTTTCATTATTAAAAGGTAATAATTTTTGTAATATTATTTAATTATCCTACGACGTCAATGCTCTTTATAACCTATAATAATTATTTTAATGACTTATGTCAGTGATAAGCCGGTTTTAAGCAATAATATTGTTTTGACAGTTTTCTCTCATTCTAATTCTTGTACGCTTTTTTATTAAATACAACTGTACATCAAAATTTTTCCAATAGCATGTCAATTTTCTGAAAAAATCTGGTAGCTTCTGGTACATGGGAGGGGATGCAAAACAGTTTATTGGTATTAGTATAAAAAACCTGCGCTTTTGTTGAAATTAAACAATAAATGTCTTATTTTATTTAAATATCTTTTTTGTAAACCTTTTCTTAGACAATGTTTTAGTTTTCAACGATGCCAATATTTAGGCTTAA